GCTTTCATGGTTAGTGAGCGGGTATTGCTCCGAGTGTCGCCTATGAAGGGCGTGATGAAATTTGGGAAGAAGGGCAAGCTTAGCCCTAGGTTCATTGGTCCATTTGAGATTCTCGACCGTGTGGGAGAGGTGGCTTATAGGCTTGCCTTGCCGCCTAGCTTGTCAGCCGTGCCTCCAGTTTTTCATGTGTCCATGCTTCGGAGGTATCACGGCGATCCAGCCCACGTGTTAGATTTCAGCACTGTCCAGTTGGACAAGGATCTATCTTATGAGGAGGAGCCGGTGGCTATTCTAGACCGGCAGGTTCGACAGTTAAGATCGAAGAGTTTTCCTTCAGTACGAGTTCAGTGGAGAGGTCAGCCTCTTGAGGCATCGATCTGGGAGGCCGAGTCTGACATGCGGAGCCGTTATCCTCATCTATTTTCCGACTCAGGTACTTCTTTCTTTTATCCGTTCGAGGACGAACGGTTGTTTTAGAGGTGGAGAATGTGACAACCCAAAGGGGTCATCACCTGTTTTCCCTTTCATTCCGTGCTTCCGAGGCCTTGAAAACCTCATTTTTACTTGCCTCGATTTGTGTGCGCAGTCCGGGCGCGTAGCCGGAAAGCTTAAATATGAATTCTGTGTAAAAATTGATGAGTTTTGATATTAATATGATTACAATTGACTTTGGTCAATATTTTGGGTAAACGGAGCCGGACCCGTGATTGGACGGTCCCGGAGGGTCCGTAGAAAAATATGAGACTCGGGCATATGCCCGGAGTCGAATTCCGAGGTCTAGAGCCCGAGAAATGAATTTTTCTGCGAAATTGTTTTTCAGAAATTAATATGGAAAATTTGAAAAGGAAATTGATTAGAACGCGTTGGTATAGGGCCCGTATTTTGGTTCCGGCGCCCGGTACAGGTCTTATATGTGGTTTAAGTGCTTTCTGTGAAATTTGGTTGAAATCGGACGTTATTTGACGTGTTTCGGACCTAAATATCTAAAAGTAAAAGTTTATGAAGTTTGAAGGAAAAGTGATGATTTTGAGGTTTGATTCCTCGTTTATGATGTTATCTTGGCGATTTGATCGGACGTTTAAGTTCGTAGGATGTTGTTGAGTTAGAGTGTATGGTTGTTTAGGAGCCCCGAGGGCTCAGGACTGTTTTCGGGGATGTTCCGGGAGGTTTAGAACTTAGAATTTCTGCAGAAAATTCTGCAGCAGTGCACAGGCCCTCCCTTCTTCGCGATCGCGACTTCCCCTCCGCGATCGCGATGCCTTCACTGCTCTCTACTTCGTGTTCGCAATCCCTCAGCACGCGTTCGCGTAGCTTCAGCGTTCCCTTCAACGTGATCGCGTTAGGCCTCACGCATTCGCGTAGGCCAAACCTTGGACCCCCCCAGTAATTTTACCTCTACGCGTCCGCGTTACTCGACCCGCGATCGCGACTCTCTGCCCGTGTGACCCTTCGTGAACGCATCCCCTTTTCCGCGAGCGCGAAGGGTAAATCTGCCCAGTTATATTTTAATTTTCAGAAAAGTATGGTCGCGAGATTTTCATAAAAACATCCGAGTTCCTTCTTCTCCAAGGTCCTTAGGCCTCCATTGAAGCTTCCTTTCATCAAGACCTCTTGGGTAAGTAAATTCCCACTCATTTTCATCATTTTCCTTCATTAATTAGCAAGTTCTAAGCCTAAATTATGTAATCTAGGGTTGGAAATTGGGGGAAATGGGTAGAGTTAGGGCTTTTCAATTTTTCTTCGATTTAGACCTCGTTTTGGGGTCGAATTTGAAAACAAATTGTATATTCGGGCTCGTGGGGGAATGTGTGATATGAAATTGGTTCGAACCTCGTGTTTTGACCAAGCGGGCCCGGGGTCGATTTTTGGAAATTTTGGAAGAAAGGTTGGGAATCTATATTTAGGCATTGGGTTGATTTGTTTAGCTTATATTAATGTTGTAAAGTCGTTATTTTATAGATTTGATTGAGTTGGAGCCGAATTCGAGAGGGAAGGCGGTCGTTGTGGATTGATTTAGCTGTGGAAGTTGAGGTAAGTGTTTGGTTTAACTTTGGCTTGAGGGAATAGGAGTAGAGTCTTATTTGTTAATTGCTATTTGTCTAGTACAGTGTATAGGCATGGTGACGAGTATCTATACACTGGTGTCGAGCATGACCGTGAGTCCTAATTTGCTAAATTATTGAATTTGTTTATTTATGAGGAATTGGTTGGAAATCTTTAACACCGAGCCAGTAATTGTTGAGACTAAGTGTGGATTTAATTGTGTTAAGTAGAGATTGAATGAGTTTGGTTATAGCTGGATCTCCCTTGCCGGGATAGTTTATTATATTACATTGCTCCCTTGCCGGGATAGTTTATTATATTAAATTGCTCCCTTGCCGGGATAGTTATTATAACATCTTTCTCCCTTGCCGGGATTATGTTGTGTATTGTGTTGAAAGAAATGGGATCGTGTGGCACGCCGACCACGAGATATTATGAAATGGGATCGTGTGGCACGCCGACCACGAGATATTATGAAATGGGATCGTGTGGCACGCCGACCACGAGTTATTATGAAATGGGAACGTGTGGCACGCCGACCACGTGATATTATTGTAATGGAAGCGTGTGGTACGCCTACCACGTGATGTAATGAAATGGGATCGTGTTGCACGCCTGCAATGAGAGGAAATTGAAATAAGTGAAAGTGGTTTGTTTTCCTTCATTCTGTGTTAGAAGAAATCAGATGTAGTTTCTCTTGTTATTCCTGATATTCCGTTTAATTGCTTCCCCATAAGCATGTTCCCCCTTCCCAGCTTTAATCTCTTACTTTCCGCTATTATTTTGTTGTACTTGTATATATATATCTGCACAGGTTTATCTGGTAGTCTGGTCTAGCCTCGTCACTACTTCGCCGGGGTTAGGCTAGGCACTTACCAGCACATGGGGTCGGTTGTGCTGATGCTACACTCTGTGCATCTTTTTGCACAGATCACAGTACCGGAGCAGCAGCTTTTGGACAGCAGTAGGAGCATTTGGGAGCTGACTTCAGTCCAGAGATCCCGAGGTAGCCTTGCTGACGTCCGCATGGCCCGGAGTCTCTTCTATCCTTACTTTAGTTTGTTATCCTTTGTACCGGAACAAACAGAACTATGTTTTTATTGAGACTTTGTATTTAGCATTCTCTAGACGTTCGTGAGTCTGTGACTCCAGTTCTTGGGTAGAGTTGTATTGAACTTCCGCATTGTTCTCCATTTATTTATGTTTAAGACTTCCGCTTTTATATTAAATGCTTCGTTGTTTTTATTAATGTC